ATATTTTATGGTTGTTATATAGCACAAGTCTTTTTTTTCTAAAAAAAAAATAAAACAAATCTGCATTATTTTGACACATAATTGTGAATGCGAAATATTGAGCACATGTAAACACCATAGAAATATTGACATTTGAATTGACACTTGTGTTAAGTCCAGAAACCATTTGGAAATGAAGCCAAATCTATTTTTTTTTTTATCAAACCACTTTTTACAATTTTTCAAACTTTCTATTTTGTTATTGTTCTTATGCATAAGCACCTTTCTTACATCTTTTCTATCTAATGAAGGAGACAATTTATTACTGATTCACACGAACATCCGAGGTATTAAACTTTAGCTGTAGACAGGCTGAAAGCGGACTTCAAATCAATACAATCTAAAGTTGTAACTGAAAAGTATTTATACTTACAGTGTGTTTCAGGGCGCCTATATACATCATAACCCTAATAAGCTTTGGTGTGGCGCGCAGCTCCACAAAAGAAGTATATGTATATCCAATGTACCTTGTAGCACATCATTTACTCTAGAAATATATATCTATATAGTTATATCTATTCAAATATCACATCTGTAGAATAGTAACTATTTTGAATAATTTGAATCTAAGTACTATCTAAATGATAATTATCTCAAATTGGCATTAATTTCACTAACATTAAAATTTTAGTTTTTGGCAAATGGCATTCTAAAGTTGATTACACATGTTTAGTGACTAATTCGCCTTACTAAAACTTCATGCATTGGTCTCCTTGAATACTTGTATTTATTTTCAACTACATGATCATTGTAATTTATTTCTGTAATGACTGTTAGTTTATCATTTGTAATTTGATGGTTATTGTAGTATTACTACATGCGTACCAGACTGGTTCCCTGTCCTTTATATTTTTGGCTCCGACAAGGGTGACTCAGATACCCATATGTTGCAAGGGAGAAAACCAGAGTTGTGAACCTACGAAATAGATGTTAGACACCCTTTTTTAAAGAATGTTCAGGAACGGAATATTAAATCATAATTCGATATAAGCAGTCAGTTCGGTTATATTTTGTCTAAATAAGGTCAATTCTTCGCTGATACATTATTTAAATAAATACAACAGTATAATTTGACCTAAGTTAAAGCTGTATGCGTGCGCATATGAGGTAATCTCAGACTGAGAACGATTTATTATGTGATCAACATGTTTAGTCATTACAAAATGTCAGCTGAAACATCGAAACTAGGGAAGCCAGCAGGTAGACCGATTTCATTGACCGATTCAGTCTACCAAAAAAACTTTTTTTACAAGAAAAGAGATGATTTCTTTTTAATCAACCAGAACTGGATAACTTTTGCAAGTGCTTGGTCTATATTTATTTTGATATTGAGTTCACAAAATCATCGACAATTTTCGGAAGTCCTTCCGTTTGTTAATTTGATTAGGTCCAATCTAACAATACGCACGAAACGCTGATACTTAATCAAGTTTCCATGCATTTGTTAGTGTTTCTTATGAAACTTTTGTAATTCTCGATATTTGATAAATTAAAGAGTCAAAGTTAATTCTGCTGGCAGGAATTCAGCATCTTATGACTTTAGTGGTTTGTGTTTTGTCTCCTTCGATATTTTTTATTTTAATTTATTTATAGTTAAATATTTGGTTTTTAAAAGCTTAAAATTAAAAATCATGAAGTGAACGATAATGTTTATTTCATCGTTTCGTTCTGAATATTTCGAATATTGTATTATGTATGTCTTCTCCTATCGTTCTCTCCTGTACCTTCATAAACATCAGTTTGATTTCAAGAAACTAAGAAATAAGAAAAGTATCAAACACCAAATTTTAAATTCTATGATATCTAATAATATATGTCTATATACCCAATTGTATCACAACAACTTCATTTAGTGTTGCTATTATCAAGCTTTCATATCAAATGTCTTCGAAAATGCAACTGATATACGTGTCTCCATGAATAAAATGTTTGTATCTCATCGTATGCGGTATATTTGGTATAACATGTTAATACTTCGCACATAAGTTGGTATGCATTTGTTTTTCACTCACTTCATTTTTGTCGTTTCAGATTTTGACTAGTGACATTTTTCAAGAAGACTCGTATTAAAGGACTTTTATGCACCCACCTTTCATAGCTATACTACATATCATTCGAAAGCTTATTATCAGTACTTTCTGTTTTGCACGGTCGTAAACAAATCGTACTGTAATTTCCGTTAAATAAAGGTCAAAGCTAGGTCACCAATAAATATTCATTAATTTTTCTATAATTTGACAACAAAAAAATTCTGATTAATGTATGTTATTAAAAATAATAAATATCATATGAACCATATAGAACATAATACAATAATTCAAATTCAAACCCAAATTAAAAGGTTTATTGCCCAATATTTACAGAAAATTTAAAAAATAACCCATCGAAAATCAAAAAGAGCAAAATTTGTCTTGAGAGATCGATATGTATATGTCCACACATACATAAATTCGTGTTTATGTCAAGGACATTTTGTTCGTGACTTAAAAACGCAATTATTGTACATTATTCTGGAAATACCGCCATATCGGGAAAGATATTTATAAAAGTTTTTTCAAACTTATTTCCGAATCCCATATACGACTGCTATGTAAAATTGTACTTTTATAGTGTTATAATTCTTCAATAATATATACTGTTTAAACTTATTACTACCAACTGCAAATAAGAGTCATTTTGATTTTCTGTGTTTAGATAAAACATTGGTCATAGTCACTATCAGGAATACAATTATATGCCATAATTAAAGATGGTGTATTTAAAGTTGGTTAAGGAATATCCGAGCTAAATACAGTAAATATGGGTTTTTTTCGAAGTCGAAAATATTCCCATTTAAAGACATGTTGTAATACTAATATGACCTTCGCATAAATCAGAAGTCAGAATCGAAATTAGTTAACAGCGGTTGTATGTGATACCAATGAACTGAAAATAATGCTACTGCTTTTTGCTTAAATCTCGTTCAATATTCAAATGAATACTGTTTTCATCATGAGCTTTTAAAAAAAACGTGGATAATTGTGTATGTAAGGACATTATTAGTTGTAACTGTTGTTCTATCAAACATCACTGAACACTAATACAGTGAAACTTTAAAATCTCGTCCTGTGCACATCCGGTATTCTTTTTTACATTTCGATGTTGTTTTTTGTACACATTTATTTGGTTTGAAAAATGTCTAGCAATTCGCAAAATTCTAGTTATGATTATATTTCCTAAATGGCTAATATAATATCGGTAAAAGGACGGAAATAACTGTGTAGGTGATGTCACATCATCAATTCAACGAATAAGCATTTGAACGTTTTGTAAAAGAAGGCTTACTCTGGAAAATACAAAATACTTTTGATGTTGCTATTAACTAATACTAGACGTAACAAATCATTTGTATTCTTTTTTACATTTCGATGTTATGTTTTGTAGACTGTTGTTTGTGTATTCGACTTTTTTTACTTCAATTTTGAAAGCTGTCGAAATATTTCACCTTAAATTGAACTTAATTGTAACCATAACTATGTCCTGTTTATAAATATATCACTTGTTAAATTTCAGTCGTTTTTTGACAAATGACAAATCCCTACTACTAAAATATCCCTCTGGTTCTCTGAATACCTTTGATGAGAATATTATATAGCACATCTACCATATCATTTTAATGCAAAATCATAGCCAAGTATAAATTTTGTTTAACATGCAAATGTATTTGTTACATCCAGTTTTAGTTAATAGCAACATCAAAAGTATTTTGTATTTTCCAGAGTAAGCCTTCTTTTACAAAACGTTCTAAATGCTTATTTATTGAATTGATGATGTAAAATCACTTACACAGTAAGTTCCGTCCTTTTACCGATAACATATTAGCCATTTAGGAAATATAATCATAACTAGAATTTTGCGAATTGCTAGACATTTTTCAAACCAAATTAATGTAATAACAGTTCATCAATTTAGTTTGTGTGAGGCGCTTTCCTGGATTTACCTCAATCAGGAATGTTCTAACCCAAATATAAAAGCAATGAATAAGTTCTCGAAACCGGGAGGAGCTTTGTGACCAAAAGAACAAATCCTTCTCAGGTCAACTTTAACTAAGGGCATTCAATTCTAAATTCTAAAATGCGACCAACAGAGAAGTGAAGAAAGGTCAAAAAGAGGCGGAAGCTACCATATGGACATTCAAAAGTCATGAGTATAGGAAGACTGTCAACGCCATGGAAAAAACCGAGAGTATCGCTTTCGTCATATATCCTAGCATTGATTTGTCAATTTCAAGGACAAAAATGGATATGAGACGGACAGTCTTGTTGTCTCTGTAGTTTCTCTACTTGACAGAAGATGAATGAGATGCAATTGCTCTTTGAACAAAGGATGGTTATGTAGACATATATCTTTATTATATCTTAGACTCAAATCGGCGTCTGTCTCAAATTCGACGCCTAATCTGACGTTTAACTATCAAATCAAAGTCTAATATTGTTCACCCCCTTATTGATATCCAACATACATACATATTAAAGTGAAAAAAGTTGACTTTGCAAGACGTTTTTGTTGTATTCTTTATAGATATGTTTCCAATAACTTCATCTGTAATTCAACCCAACCACAAGGGGGTGCATCGGTGACTATTGGAATACCTTCTGCCTTTTAAAAATAAATCAACCAATCAACTAGTTATGCATTTAGGTGACTCATATTCTACTTCAAATAATTTGTTGTTGGTGTAAGTGTAGTACACAGGAAACTGGTATTACATTTATCGTTCCTATAGAATAATTCAGTGGTATGTTTCGACGAAACTTGTATTCGTACTTATCAGGTTAAACGAAAACGAGGAAGAATATTTCCATGTTTGTAACTTTGATAAGTACATTTGCAACTTTGTGAAAAAGAGAACAAGGATTATATTAATACATAGATACACGTTCACAACATTACTACTGCATGGTAACCAAAATAATACTGACTGAACAATGTGAAACTTTATTGAATACAGTAATACAATATGCAGTATAAGATATATATATCTACAGTATAATCCTAAATATAACAGCGTCTGTATATCACTTCAAAAAATACTGGAAGCTGTATTCATACATAAATCTAGCATTCCACTATCTGAAATAAGAAACACATAATACATATTTTTACATTATGGAATAGCATACAATGTTCTTATATATTCAAACATTTGAGATAGCAAACTGTTAAAAAAGGGAAGACGTGAGATACTTGATAAATTGAAAGGCAGACACTACCATAAGGAAGGTGTTAAGTTTTAGATTTCTGGAGACATATACTGTTTTTGGTGGTTTTACTTCCCCTGTGAAAAGTATGAAATCAAATTGGTTGTTGGCAAATAGACTTATCTTGCTGCTCCTTTTTTTCCACAATAAAATGTAGTAATTATATAACCCGGTACTTAATAACAAATATGCAAGTCTTTATCGTGCAAAAAACGTCTGCTTTATGTGTGGTAAAACAACAGATTTACGAACGCTTTGCGAAAACATCCGTCGTAAAATGTAAGTCGATATATTGTCTGTGATGTAATATTTGTTTTTTTTTTCTTTCTCTCTTGTTATTTGGTTAACTGTTTTATGCTTCGTTTTCTAATTGCAAAAAAAATCCACATCCCTTTTATCTAATTAATTTTACTTTTGCATTAAAGTTTTAACACTAATATATAGTCATCTTTCTTTGCGTTAATATTTTAGAGGTTCTACGTTTTTCATTATTTTTTTGTGTTTTTACCTTTTAATGCTAGAAAAAGCATAAATTCGTCCATGATACCACTACCAACGTCTTTCTCAGCAGCTTCAGGCTGATAGTCTGGAATATTGTTGATATGATTGTCTATCTTTGTTCTTTTCCATGGCATTCGACCTGTGAAATATAATAGTCATTTTTAAATGCCAAATCATCATCAGCACACAATGGTTCTATATTTAAACATTTGCTAATTTAAGAAGCAACACCACCCAATCCCCCCGTGTTCTACAGATTTTATATTTCAAAACTTCTCTTAAAAAAGATCTTCTTCACTTAAGTTCTTATTAATCATTGATTTAGTTTTTGAATAACACTCAATTGTGTCCATGTCCTGTTGCAATTTCTATTATGATATGAGAAAAAAAAAACACAACACAATGAGGTACCGGTATCTGAAGGACAATTAAATAATTTAGAAAAGTATAATGTGGTCATATATCATTATTGTTTGACGTAAATTTTACATTGAGGTTCTGCAAAATGAAATCATCAATTCACCAACATTCCAACTGACTCCATTTTCGGAAAATGACATCTGTAACAAACATAAACGTTTAGCTACCTCTTTACAAGCAGAACCCAATACAATGAAAGTTCCAACTCTGTACTGGCTTCCAAAGCTGCCCAAAACACCTTACAAATATAGATTTATTTCGTCTTCAAGCCATTGTTCCACAAATAAACTGTTTATTCTACTTACAAGTACACTTGGTACAATCAAAAACCTGGTAATAACTTGTTCAAATAAGGCCTTTGAAAATAGTGGAATTAATTACTTTTGGAGTGTCAAAAATTCGTTGGAAGTACTTGAAAAATTGCATGCTTATATTGATGATTTCGAATCTGTTCAAAGTTTTGATTTTTTTACCCTATATACCACTTTACCTCATAATCTTATTAAGAAAAAAATCACACACCTAATTAAATGGGCATTTAAAAATTCAGAATGCGAATATATATGTTCAAACTCTTTTAGGTCATTTTTTAGTAACAACAAACAAAAGAACTATGTCAATTGGACCTGCTTTGATACCATAACTGCCCTTGAATTTTTACTAGATAACATCTTTGTTCGCTATGGAGATTCCGTATATCGTCAAGTTATCGGAATTCCAATGGGGACTAACTGTGCACCACTTATTGCGGACCTGTTTCTGTATTCTTATGAGTTACAATTTATGATTAAAATCAGCAAAGACCCATCGAAACAACATCTGATACAAACATTTAATAATACTTTTAGATATTTGGATAATATATTGGCTCTCAATAATGACGACTTCAGTATGTACACTAAAGAGATTTATCCTGCTGAACTGACCTAAAATTAAGCTAATACTAACAATGAACTCTGCCCTTTCCTGGATCTTGATATCTATATCTTTAACGGGAAGCTTAATACCAAAATTTATGATAAAAGAGATGATTTTTCATTTCCTATTGTTAATTATCCATTTTTAGATGGTGACGTTCCCTTGTCACCATCTTATGGTGTTTATGTATCTCAACTTGTTCGATTCGCTCGTGTATTTAACAACGTATTTGATTTTAACGAAAGAAATCTCTGTATTACTGAAAAAATATTACACCAGGGTTTCCGATATCACAAACTAGTCAAAACATTTACTAAAATTTATCATCGGTACAAGGACATCATTCGTAAATATAAATCAACATGCAGACATCATTCGTAAATATAAATCAACATGCAGACATCTTATACCTTCAGGTATTTCACATCCAATCTTTTATGGTAATATTCTATACAAAGCACAAAAATGTCGGCATTCACCTCAAGAGCTAACCAAACCTTTAAACAGACTTATTCAAAAGGGATATAGTTACGATACTGTTGTCAGGTCATTAAAGACGGCATATTTGGTATAAATATTGATTCACTCATAGGGTCTTTGCATCGGAAATAAACACATTTATTCTAAAACCAGTTGTTCGCATGACACGGGTTATGTTCTCATATATTTTATGAAGGTATGATACTAAACCCCTAACGGGAGGGATTGTGCTTGATTTTCATATGATGAAGACATAATCTTTCAATCAGTTTAATTGAGGTCTGGAGCTGGCATGTCAGTAACTGCTAGTAGTCCCTTGTTAATTTATGTATCATTATCATTTTGCTTAGTTCTTTTTGTTACCTATTCTGACATCGGACTCGGACTTCTTTTAAACTGAGTTTTACTGTGCGTATTGCTGTGTGTTTGTTTATTCTACATTGGCTAGAGGTATAGGGGGAGGGTTGAGATCTCACAAAACATGTTTAACCCCGCCGCAAATTTTGCGCCTGTCCCAAGTCTTGTAAGTTTTTTAATCCTAATCTTGTAAGTTTTTTAATTTTAGTTCATTTATATGTTTTGGAGTTTAGTGCGACGTCCATTGTCACTGAACTAGAACACATTTTCGTTTAGGGGCCAGCTGTAGCCCGCCTGCGGGAGCAGAATTTTCTCGCTGTGTTGAAGACCCATTGGTGCCCTTCGGCTGTTTCATGCTTCGGTCGGGTTGTTGTCTCTTTGACACATTCCCTATTTCCATTCTCAATTTTATATACAGTGTACATTTTCCTTAAATGTTGAAATACTGTTTTATAAATAGATATTCCACTTTCAGATGTTCCCAAAAAATATGCACAACGCGCAAACGTCTAAGTGCATACAAGCAAACACCAAATATGCCATCTTTTTATAGCATTTTTTTCAGCTATAAAAAGCAGCAAAACCGAAAAACAAATCTCTTTTTATTCAGATATTTCTAGGACATACACGAATTGATTAAAATTACGGGATGAGGCTGTCACATAAATGTAATTAAATCAACAGCCTTCAATAGTACCTCCTTTATTCTTAAACAAATGAATTTCACTAACATATTCGCGACTCAATATCATGCTCATTGATAAAAAGATAAAAATTAAAAAAAAACAAACATTTTTTATCAGTATTATGGCACAATTTCTGTTGGTTGTACATTATTATGTTGGTTGTGCATTATGTTTCTTATTTCATATGTTGTTATTGGTATTTTATATGCTGTTATGCTGACATTCGTATTTCCTGTACTGTTATTCGTATTTTATCTGCTGACATTCGTATTTCATATGCTGTTGTTCGTATTTCATATGTTGTTGTTCGTATTTCATATGCTGTTGTTCGTATTTAATACGCTGTTGTTCGTATTTCATATACTGTTGTTCGTATTTAATACGCTGTTGTTCGTATTACATATGCTGTTATTCGTCAAACTTGTTTATATAGATACCCAATCTTCTCTGTTAAGACAAGGATAAAGTTCTAATGCTAGCAGATGATAGACATATTGTGAAACTATAAAACGACTATGCATTTTTTCTAAATATCATACTATACCATATGTATCCCGAAATCTTGAACTTCCTCGTTTGATCAATCGATGGATATGACTTTTGTCACCTGAACAAAAAATGTCATATCATCTAAACAAAGCACGCATTGACTTTTGGGATTCTGCATATTTCTAGCCAATGCTACATGTCCCATGTAACTAACTTATCTTTTTGGCAGCGATTTTTTGTTGTTAAATCTTAAAAATTGCTTCAAGAATTCTCGGATATGATAAAATACTGTGAAGGGAAATTTTAGGGAAACTGAAAGTTGAAATTGTACTACATTTCTAACTCAACGCGAATCAAGGAGAAAGTATCGGACTTATCAATAACATATATGTATATATATATTAAAAACTGAATATTAAATTCATTTTGGCAATTTAAGAATTAGTGGTGGATTATATCGATATATACTTGTCCAGTCAGCATAAGATACCGTTAGCAATTTTACAAAGAAATATCTGTAATTTAAGATAAAAGTGTTTGCTCCAAGTATTGTTTTAGACAAATTAACTCTCTTTACCACCAATCCCTGATTGTTCTCAAAGTCCGAGTACATTATATCTATGCCCCTTAATATTATATATTAACCTTTGAGATGTACGCCTCTATCCGATTGAAGTATGATTTTTATAGTTTGTTCTTATGTTGTGCTGTTACACCACTGTCTCAGGTTAGGGGAGGGTTGAGCGCCAACAAACATGTTTAACCCCGCCGCATTCTTTATGTGCCTGTCCCAAGTCAGGAGCATGTAGTTCAGTGGTTGTCGTTGGTTCATGCCTGTCATATTTGTTTTTCGTAAATTGTTTTGTTATAGATTAGGCCGTTAGTTTTCTAAATTGAATTGTTTCATATTTTTCATGTCGGGGCCTTTTATAACCGACTATACGGTATGGGTTTTCTCATAGTTGAAGGCCATACGGTTGGCTATAATTGCTTACAACCACTTCATTTGAACTTGGGTGGATAGTTGTTTCATTGGCAATCATACCACATCTCTTTACTTTTATATAGACGACGAGGGGCAATCCATTATTCTCATACAAAATGTACAAAACTGCATTTTTCAAAATTTAAAAAAGATGTTTCTGTAGATGGAACAAGAAACTTGAATCCAAAAGTTATATCCGTTTTTAAATTCTACGAGAAAGATAGATAAACAAATGGTTGAATTCATCAGCATTACTTGACTAAAATAGTATGAGGAAAGTAATAATTGTAGTTACTTTTACATCACAATTCTAAGCACAAACAAAATCATGAAATATAATATATTATTACCAATGTATCCGGTTATATGGATTACACTTTAATTGTAATATCACCATTAACTCATTTTAAATCTACAAAACAATTCACTGGTATCGTTGGTATTGAAGCATTGTTTTGTAACAGCTACCATATTTTTAGGAGGGATGGACAAGTCACAATTATCAATAATTTCATGGTTAACTAACTGACTATGATTTATTTGTAAATTTTAAACAGGTGTTACAAAACTGACATTTTAGCAGAAGAAAAACATATTTATCCTGTCGACTAACTTGCTATTTAGATATTGATTTTTAATTTTCCACTTTTATTTTTCCTGACCAAATATTTTTTTTATTGAAATTTAAGGCTTTTCAAAGTCTATTACTAAAAACTTCTACTGGTAATACGTCATTCTTTAAATATGGCAGTAGTTGGAAAGTTAAAAGATTTGCACGAATTGTAAAATAATTTTTATCAATTTTAATTTTAGTAATATTAGCGGTCATGTCATGTTGATATCAGTAATTACTTTTCCTAACTTTGTACCCAATTGTTTTGTCATGTTTTATATCTGTGGTAACAGTAGCTGTCATGTTTTTAATTGCCTTTGTCATTGTTCGCTATTAAAAACGAGAATAAAATATGACTGTCTTCTGAATCGGACAATGTTTATATAAATTGTATAAAGAATCTATCATTTTATTGTTTTCACAATTTATGGCAACGAATGGTTTCATAGCATTTCAGATTGGGGAAAAATAAAAATAGAATGCAAAACAATTTATCTACCAAAAGTATGAATTTAGGTTATTGAAGAATTAATGTATTATATATAATAATATTATAGTTGTTTGTTCTCCCTTTAGATAATACCGGACATATTGATATAAAATAAAAGGGATGTGGTTTGATTGTCAATGAGACAACTATCCAACAGAGTCCAACTGAAAAGGATTAAAATAACTATTATAGGTCACCATACGGCCTTCAACAATGCCCAAAATCCCTACCTCATAGTCAGCTATAAAAGACCTCGACATGCCAGCGGCCTGATGTATGACAAAACTATAGACGAACAACTAATATGAAAGACAGCTTCCTTCAGGTACGTGACTTGAGGCAGGAACATATACAAAATGGGGGGATTAAACATGTACTTTGACCTATGATTGTTTACTTTTTACACATTGTGACTTGGATGGAGAGTTTTCTCATTGGCACTCATACCACATTTTCTTATTTCTATTTTGAGTGTTCAACCTCCATTGAACCTCGGACAGTGGTGTAACTGAATTACATAAGAACAAACTTTAAAAATCAGTTGGAAATAGCTTCAAAGTTGACTCATCATATTAGCAAGAAGCAATAAATCTAAAACAGCTAACATAAAGACAAAAGACACAAAGTGCCGATCTTAACAAATATATACCGAAAGCTAGGTCAAAACTCATTTCAGTTAATTAATAAATCAATGTTCTCCCAAACTAAAGTATCAATCAGATCACATCCAACGGGTCTGATGTAAAGACGTCATAAACAGTCTGATAAAATTACCTTGTACAATGCCAAAATATAAGTAATACTAGTACATAATATCGAAAGGGTTTTCATATATATATAGCAATTATAAATATTCAGTTATGTTTTAATTATTTCGGCTCAACAAATAGCCTTCGTCAGTGTCAATAATTTTAACAATACGGTATTGTTAAAATCATTGACACTGACGAAGGCTATTTGTTAAGCCGAAATATTTGTCAACACGATTCAATAACAACATCTTCGTATAATACCATCTTATATTAGTATCGTTGTGCAAATCTCTAGACTTATATATATATATATATATATATATATATATATATATATATATACATGTAGGACTCGGAGGTGCGATGGGGACGCTGAAGTCCGATGGTCACGCTGAAGTGCGATGGTCTCCGCCGAGTGGTCTATATAAGCCATTACTTGGAATATCCGTTTCACAAATGATAACGGATATGTTCCTAATGTCGTAACTACAATCCCGTCCCCTTTTCCCGAATGTGACCTACCGAATTAGACTTATTACCGGGTTTGTACTAACATGAGCAACACGACGGGTGCCACATGTGGAGTAGGATCTGCTTACCCTTCTGGAACACATGATGTCACCCCCAGTTTTTGGTGGGGTTCGTGTGGCTCAGTCTTTAGTTTTCTATGTTGTGTTTTGTGTATCATTGTTTGTCTGTTGATCTTTTTCTTATTTAGCCATGGCGTTGTCAGTTTATTTTCAACTCATGAGTTTGAATGTCCCTTTTGTATCTTTCGCCTCTCTTTTACAGTTCCATACTAAATGATAGATTGTTCTCTTTAAATTTGCTGCATTAGGACATTGTTCTGCGTTAACAGCTTATCTTTACTTTGTTCCTCTCATCTGAGATTACTGAATGTGTTAAAGTAACATCAACTCTCAGCTCTCATGATTTTCACGTTAACCGTAATATCATAATACGGGGAGTATCTCTGTGGACCCATATGTAGTTGGAAAATTCCAAGCTCCATCGTACATAAAAAAACAAAACTTCTATAGATTTCGAATACGGAATACGATATTGTTAAAATCATTGACACTGATATATATATATATATATATATATATATATATATATATATATATATATATATATATACAAGTCTAAATTGAAAACAACGTTCAAACCTATGATTGCGTTGGATAAAAACCGCAATTTTTATACGTGTGCATGCAAAACAAATTTCTTGGTAGAGGGGTCTAAATACAGCACAAACAACATTTTCCAAATGACCAAAAAAGTGAAAAAGTATATTTTAACAAAACGCATTTGACTAGCAGGTCGAACAACGGATGTTCTTAAACCCTGCTGACTGCCATATATATATACAAGTCTAAATTGAAAACAACGTTCAAACCTATATTTGCGTTGGATAAAACCGCAATTTTTATACGAGTGCATGCAAAACAAATTTCTTGATAGAGGGGTCTAAATACAGCACAAACAACATTTTCAAAAAGACCAAAACAGTGAAAAAGAATATTTTAACAAAACGCATTTGACTAGCAGGTCGAACAACGGATGTTCTTAAACCCTTCTGACTGCCATTGGCGATTGCCAAATAAACGGATCACCAGATGTAACACAATAGATCTTAACTATTAATTTAATACCAAAGCAGAAAACAATAAACTTGCGGGAAAGATAGTACACCGCAAACAAAAGGTGCAAAAATTAGTACACCATATCCGGAATTCGACAATTAATGTCTCTTCAGTGATGTTAAGAATCGAAACGGTATTTGGAAGGCTATATAATTTACCTCAATTAAGGATAGACTCTTGAATTTTGAAGAGTCGAAATAGGATGAACGGATATATATAATATTAAAAACCAATTGTTCAGAGAACAATTGAAGGTCTTTCCATCCTAAAGATCTATTTTGATATAAAAATATTAAAATTCGGTTTAAAATGTCATTTCCAGCGTCAAATGATAGCTTATTGTACGCTGATTCCAAAAATATATGGTTTCTATATATTTTTTTTTAAATAAGGGAGATAATTTGTTACTTCCAGTTTGAAAAATGTTACTTTCGGTATAATTTGAATGTTTACTTGACACTGATTCCAAAAATATATGGTTCTATATACTTTTATATTAAATAAGTACAAAAAATAGCTACTTCCGGTTTACACAAGGTCACTTCCGGTTGGATTTTTCAAGGTCAAATGGCTTGCAACCTAATGCAAAAAGTCCCATGGCTTTATCATGTATACATATGAGGTAAAAGCAAAGGTCAAAATCTAGAACGTCAAATTTACCTATGACCTTGAGCTCAATTTCAAGGTCATAAACCAAGGACCTCAATCAAAAGACCCTAGGTCTTAGTTATATATGGTTAATGAGTTATATCACCATACGCGTATTTTTAAATACAAGAGGGAAGAAAACTCTAATTTAATGTAAGCGCACCCTTTAAACCAAAATGTATGTGTTACGACATGTCGCAACTAACAATTTAGTAATAATATGTTGTCGATATCTTATACTGTTTTTGAAAAGAAGTGAAAATAAGCCAAAATCAAAATTTAGAATATGACCTTGACCTTTGACCTTGACCAAATTTTCTTTTTTTTTTTGGACCAAGGACCTCAAATCAAAAGACCCTAGGTCTTCATCACTTATGGTTTACCAGTTAGAAATGCATATCACTTATATCAAATGCATAAGGGGAAATAACTCTCATATGGAGTCTCCGCAACGCTTCGGTGAAAACCAAACTCAACATCCTGAAGATATAGCGAGCAATTTGGTAAAATAAATTTGTCGTAATCTTTTGCGAAGGAGTAATGGCCACAAGAAAAACAGTGTTTGGGGAGATAACTCTTACAACGTAAAGTATTCGGTTAAGCGGTTATCAGTTTCAAAAGCGTATAAACTGTTCGATATCACATACCAAATATCTAAGCGACATCTTATGAAACAACAATACTACGCAAGAAAAAAATTAGGCGGAAGAAAAAAAAAAATAATAATAATCAGAACAAAATCAATAGGTCTTTCCACGGAAAAGTGGAAAGACCTAATTATATAGTATACATTGTATAATTCTTACATCAAAATATTATATTTCCTGTACTGGGATGGGCACTTTTATGAAAGGCAATTGTTTGCATTGCACAATTTCACTTATAATTGAATATACAGATGATTGCCGAGTGTGACTTTATTCTAACTTCACAAAGGGTATATAAATCATGACACCTATTTCAAGAAAATGCATTTTAATCAGCTTTTTACCATAATGCCTGAAATACCTTCAAACTATGGCAACAATAGTGCATGTATGTCTGTTAAATTTTGTTTAGGAAAATTATCGTACTTACAAAATTGTGTGTATTTATGTAAAATTGGGAGTGACGAGCTTAATGATGATTATCGAATATCTGCTTATTTTTTTCAAATATTAGCAAGTTTAATTGCAGTTACTATTACCAATGTAAATTCTTTAGGAGCCAAATTGTAACAATATATCGGGTATTTGCGTTGCATACGAAAACATTCATTCAGACATGTTTATTATTCCATAGTGTAACGTATCAGCTGACATACATGTATTTCACCCAAAGCACAGTTGTCTACGCAGATGAGAATGAGACGAAATGTTCGTATTAAAACTAACAGATCAACAATGTTCAGGTTGCAATTATTTGTAATACTCATCGACATTACTGTGCATGATTTGACATTTGATATAGGACTTCTATCAAGAGCACTTTTGAAGCTAAGAATACAATGTGTAATGCCGAGGTATCTGTTCATCTTAATGTATGTTTGCTTTAAAAAAGTGAATATATGATTGACATGCTGTGAAGACAACTAGTCCTAATTGCCCAGTTATAGTAAATGGGAACAGTATAGTTGTAAAAATAGAATAAATTTGTTTTGATCTTACATTAGCTTGTTCGTGATGGACAACGAAAGGAAAAGAAAACAATAACTGCGTTATGAAAAGGCAGACGAGATCTTTCAGATACAATATCAAAGTACGACTTTCGTTTGACATAAATACTTTCGTTTGACATAAATGATTTCTATGGTCGGGTTGTTGTCTCTTTGACACATTCCCCATTTCCATTCTCAGTTTTATCTATTAAACAATTAGGGAGATGTGACTTGGTTAAAAGCATTCTATTGTTTCAATGATGTGTTAAGTGATTTGATTTCTGTCTTTCTAGTATTCACTAATAGATGATAAGCACCCGTTGAATCAGATGTACTTTGGTTGAGAAATAATAATACTGTTTTTGATATATGAAAAAAAAGACAACTATAACTGACGCGATATTTGGATTTACTGCTGTTTTGGGGTATTTTTATTCTTCCATGAAAGATGTCAACTTCCATAAAAAAAAAGCCGATGCTGATACGCTTTATAGGACTTACTCATCGTCGAAACATATTTTTAAACGATATACAGTCCTGTATTTCTATGACGGTGCAGTGGATAACTCCAATTAAATTATATATAAACTAAGATACACCAAGCGAGTCATTGTGGAACATGTTTTTAAAAAATCTTACCTTGTATTTTGTTTGTAGATTTCTGAAAAACAAAATAAGAGTCCATTTTATTAACCTTCTATGCCATAATTTGATATGAAGATTAGTGCTGAATGTGACTTTTAGCAGGAAACTTTATATAGTGTGTTGAAGACGAATTGGTGGCCTTGGGCTGTTTTCTGCTCTTTGGTCGGGTTGTTGTCTCTTTGACACATTCCCCATCTCCATTCTCAATTTTATAGGTTTAATAAACTATTACTGTCCCTATTCATCAGTCTGTAGGTCTGTGGTTGCCGTTGATTGTGGTATTCATATGTTTTTCGTTTATTGTTTTGTACATAAATTGCTTTTTTTCGTTTGAATTGTTTTACATTTTGTCATTTCTGGGCCTTTTATAGCTTACTTTGAAGGATGTACTTTGATCTATTCTTGCTTACGTTTATGTCATTTGATCATTGGTGGATAGTTGTCTAATTGGAAATCATACACATAGATATAAGAAGATGTGGTATGAGTGTCAATGAGACAACTCTCCATCCAAGTCAAAATTTATAAAAGTAAACCATTATAGGTCAAAGTACGGTCTTCAACACGGAGCCTTGGCTCACACCGAACAGTAAGCTATAAACATGTAAGTATCAGCTCAAAAGTTGGTGCTTCGACACTGACATGATTTATACCATAGCTTTCTTATTTGGTCCGTGAATAAATTTAGAAATTATTAAGAAACTTAAATTCCAACCCCCGCAAACAAAGTTGGCATTAGGAGAATTAGGCTTTTATTTTTAGGTCCAATTGAGGTCCCGTTTGGTCTTACAGCTCTCAGTGTATTCCACAATGTCTATATCCCTGGCTTTCAAAGTTTTTGAATCGATTGACTTATGTTCTGCAGCTTTGGGATTAGAACGTTTCTCATAACGGTAAACATGGAAAAGCGCCTCGGACGCACCATATTTATAAAAATGTTAATTTCATCACTTTTACGTTTGAAGCCATGAATTTCCTCAAATTCATGTTTTTCCATACACATCGTATGAATAGCCAGAAACGTTTATCTCGCCAAAATTTCTAATTTCTTAAATAATTGTATCTAAAAAAAAAATCACTGAAACCTATCTTTATTTTACTCTATTGTGTGTTTTTACGGTACGTCAGTTTTTTTGTGGTTTTTTTTTTATCACATTTAGCAGGCGGATCTCATCCTGAGTAATTTCGATGACCAAAATAAACATTAACCTTCTTTTTTTTTTAGTTGTTTGTTTAAAATTATTCTTTCAAGGTGTTAAAATCTTGAAATCCAACCATAATATCTTGTAAGTTACGCTTTTGTTTTTTGTTTTTTAATTTTTCTATTCTCTTTTTTTTAAAACTTTTATGTACATAATGTAAAGTCAATAAAACCATTAATCTTTACTGTGCCGACAGTTTGAATCCTGGGGCGTATTTGATTGTGCCGACAGTTTGGATCCTGGGGTGTATTTAATTGTGCCGACAGTTTGGATCCTGGGGCGTATTTGACTGTGTCGACAGTTTGGATCCTGGGGCGTATTTGATTGTGTCGACAGTTTGAATCCTGGGATGTTTTTGATTGTGTCGACAGTTTGGATCCTGGGGCGTATTTGATTGTGCCGACAGTTTGGATCCTGGGGTCTATTTAATTGTGTCGACAGTTTGAATCCTGGGGCGTATTTGATTGTGTCGACAGTTTGGATCCTGGGGTGTATTTGATTGTGCCGACTGTTTGGATCCTTGGGCGTATTTGATTGTGTCGACAGTTTGAATCCTGGGGCGTATTTGATTGTGTCGACAGTTTGGATCCTGGAGTGTATTTGATTGTGTCGACAGTTTGGATCCTGGGGCGTATTTGATTGTGTCGACAGTTTGGATCCTGGGGCGTATTTGATTGTGTCGACAGTTTGAATCCTGGGGTGTATTTGATTGTGTCGACAGTTTGGATCCTGAGGCGTATTTGATTGTGTCGACAGTTTGGATCCTTGGGTGTATTTGATTGAGTCGACAGTTTGGATCGTGGGGCGTATTTGATTGTGTCGACAATTTGGATCCTGGGGTGTATTTCATGACCTGCAGATTTGCACAAATGTAAGTGAATGCTGTGTGATATAAAAGAGAACAAAAGTATATGTGTGATATAAAAGGGAACAACAATATATGTGTGATATAAAAGGGAACAAAAGTATATGTGTGATATAAAAGGGAACAAAAGTATATGTGTATTATAAGTTCATAAGATAGAAACCCAACGACACAAAAAACCAAAAACACATCTAGATGTCAACCTTTCGTCAAACTCAAAATCGCTCCGAGTCTAGAAAAGATTAACTTAAACATTTATTTTCAAGGACCTGTCTTAAACAAAACAAAAATCCATTCATAATAAAATATCAGGATTGATTTTACACTTCGGAATGGCAAGCTGAGTATTTGTTTTTCTTTAAAACAGGCAGTGGAGCTTTCCATCGTCATAATATTGTTAACATTTTATAACAGAAGACAACCACCGAGGAGTTTCCTGCCTATGGACAGGCACATTACCATGTGGGGTTATATAATATTGTAGATGTAAACTCTTACCTGTTTACCCCCCACAAGTAGGTTAACTACAGGTATTTCAAGGAAAATACAGTAATAAAAAGGATAAGCACAGAAAACACTTCTTTCCTTAATAAATGATATGCTAGATAACAAGTTGAAGCGAAACACTAGATCGAAACCATATGAAAGAATGTTCGTACTAACTTATAGTACAGCAATATATCTGCATATATTTAAATCATGCCATATCATATACTAAGTATTGTTGAAGTTATAAGTTTTAATAAAATTTAATTATCTAATATTTCGGACCTTTCCGTTTTATAGATAATATTTAGCCTGACAAATGTTATAATTAAATAAGCATTTAGGACAGAATTTATGGATATAGATAACACTTTACACTATGTTCATGTCACATGATATCAAATGAATGATGATTTAAATGTCATTTCAATGACACCAGCTGATGTCATAATTTGATAGAACCCTGTTATCATATATGATTATTTTTTATCAAAGCAGATAATTAAAATCTTTGACAGCAAAGTTGCCTTAAAGAATAATCCTTGGTACCATTAATAACAAAGTTCAATTCATCAATTCATGATGTTTCTAATGCATTACTGAGAACAATTCAAGAAGTCTTAAGTTTCCATCATAATATATTTATCAATACTGAAAAGCTAAATGCCATCTAAATTACAAAAAGAGGAAGAAAATACTAAAACAAAAAACCAAAACATACCAAAAGATAAAACCAAAAAGATAAAACCAAAACGTACCAAAAGTTAAGCCAAACCCGGACAAGACATCAGATGATTTTCTAATTTTATTAGCAACAAATTTTAAAATGAAATATCCGCATTTTCATGTCAGTGCCGAAGTACTGACTTCTGAGCTGGTAATACTACCGGGGACTTACAGTCTTCCAACCCGCAATAAGTACTGACTTCTGGGCTGGTGATACTACCGGGGACATACAGTCTTCCAATCCGCAATAAGTACTGACTTCTGAGCTGGGGATACTACCGGGGACTTACAGTCTTCCAACCCGCAATAAGTACTGACTTCTGGGACGATGATACTACCGGGGACTTACAGTCTTCCAACCCGCAATAAGTACTGACTTCTGAGCTGGTGATACTACCGGGGACTTACAGTCTTCCAACCCGCAACAAGTACTGACTTCTGAGCTGGTGATACTACCGGGGACTTACAGTCTTCCAACCCGCAATAAGTACTGACTTCTGGGACGGTGATACTACCGAGGACTTACAGTCTTCCAACCCGCAATAAGTACTGACTTCTGAGCTGGTGATACTACCGGGGACTTACAGTCTTCCAACCCGCAACAAGTACTGACTTCTGAGCTGGTGATACTACCGGGGACTTACAGTCTTCCAACCCGCAATAAGTACTGACTTCTTAGCTGGTGATACTACCGAGGACTTACAGTCTTCCAACCCGCAATAAGTACTGACTTCTGAGCTGGTGATACTACAGGGGACTTACAGTCTTCCAACCCGCAATAAGTACTGAATTCTGAGCTGGTGATACTACAGGGGACTTATGTAGTCTTCCAACCCGCAATAAGTACTGACTTCTGAGCTGGTGATACTACCGGGGACTTACAGTCTTCCAACCCGCAATAAGTACTGACTTCTGGGCTGGTGATACTACCGGGGACATACAGTCTTCCAATCCGCAATAAGTACTGACTTCTGAGCTGGGGATACTACCGGGGACTTACAGTCTTCCAACCCGCAATAAGTACTGACTTCTGAGCTGGTGATACTACCGGGGACTTACAGTCTTCCAACCCGCAATAAGTACTGACTTCTGAGCTGGTGATACTACCGGGGACTTACAGTCTTCCAACCCGCAATAAGTACTGACTGAGATACCCTTGATAAGACTTCTACATAATGAACAAAGATGATGCAGTTTTTCTGTAATATTTACACATCTACAAGTCACTTCAGTTTAACTGGGATAAACTCAAGTGACTTGTAGATGTGTAAATATTACATGTAAAACTGCATCATCTTTGTTCATTATGTAGAAGTCTTATTAAGGGTATCTCAGCAAGCGGCTCTGCTTACACGTTACTTACATTTCGGCGTTATCTAAGATATTTATATACATGCTTTTGTAATAGCTGAAGGAACGTTTTTACATTATTTTTGTCTCTCCTTTATCATCAAAAATCAAGTGTATCTGGTTACGTGCAACTAAGTTGATATAGGAGAAATATCTTTTACAAATTATACCATACTTCCTTTTGATATAATAATAGTTTGCGTGATTCGTGAAGCTTTCCACAAAATAAACTATCCTCAAGTCCCGTTACAAGGATGATCATTCTACACCAAGCACGCGGCGTTCATGAGGAAGAGAAAAGGATGGTCGGCTCGGAGTCAGAAAAATGTTTCAGCGTAGGTAGGATGACATGTCTTCCTGCGTAATGTTACATGGTGAATTAATAGA